TGGGAATTATTAAAACAGTGGTGGAGAGGCACTGCAGGTCTAAAACAGTGTACTAATATGAGCACAAATCAGTGGAATCAGTGATGTACAAAATGAGTTGAGTCAGGCAGAAACTCCATGGAGGAGCACAATTAAGGAGCCACAGCTATCATTTGAAGTGAGGATCAGAAAAGCTGGAATGAGCACAGGCAGCGGGGATCAAAGGAAAGGGGTGGATGAAAGACACAGCAGAGAGAAGGAGCCAGGGCACTTGTCAATTGCCTACAGAAGATGAGCTAAGAAGAGAGGAAAGTCAAAGGAAACTTTGGAATTTCTGTCATATATATACTATATTTGTGGACTAGAGGCCAGAGAAAAAATAAATCTGCAAGTACACTTATAATTGGCATCCTAGTCTTATTTGACAACTAAAGTGCACCTTACCCAAACCATGGTATGTTATATCACTGCATACTCCTGTAAAAGCTAGACAATGAATAATGCACTGAAAAACCAGACTGATGCCAGTGTGCTAGTCTGGGTAGACTAGAGAAACAAATCCACAGAAACTCATATATATGAGAGTTTTCTATAAAAGGTAAGTGTACGTTTAAGAAAGCATCCCAACCCAGTCCAAGCCCCTAAGTTCAACATTAGCCCATATGTCCGACATTGATCTAAAAAGTCCTCCTCAAACTCACAAAACACACACAATGACACTGAATGCAGGAGGAAAGCCACTGAGATGTAAGCATCTCAGTGCTGGCTGGGGTCTCCACATGGCTTCTCAGCGCCCAGGGCTGTCTCAGAGTAGGTCTATAGGGCTTCTCCTCTGGCTTCTTCTCACAGGAAGTGAGCCTTGCCAGCTGAGGCAGAGAACTAGTTAAGGCAGCCACACACTGATCTGATCATCAGAGAGCAAGCAACCAGAAAGGCGAAGCTCGCAGAGCTAGTTATCGCTCCGCCCTTCAATTAATCCCACATGTGTTCATTGGCCAGGTTGGCACAATAAACCTTAATGATCACAGCCAGTAAGTCATTTCAAACTCATAGTCACCCTATATGAGATTTCCAATACTGTAGATCTTCAAGGGAAAGGACCACTGCATCTTTCTCCCACAGAGTGACTGGTGGATTTGAACCACCAACATTTCCATTGGTATTCCATGCTTCCCCAACAGTGCCATCAGGGCTTCTTTGCAAAATGAATAAGTAAGACCAAAGAAAAGTGGATGCATTTGAATTATGGTGCGGGTGAAGAATATTGAATACACCTTGGGATTCCAGCAGTCCAAACAAATCTGTCTTGGAAGAAGCACAGGGATTGTTCCTTAAAAGGGAGGGTGGACTAATGGTGTCTCACATATTGTTGACCAGTCCCTGGAGGACAGCATGCTTGGTTAAATAGCAGGTCTGCAGAAACAAGGAAGACGCTCAGTAAGATGGAACGGCACAGTGCTTGCAGCAATGCGCCCAAACACAGCAATGATTGGGAGGAAGGCGCACAGACAGGCAGTGTTTTGTTCGATTGTGTGTGGGGTTCCTCTGAGTCAAACCGGCCCCATGGTGACTAACAAACGCAACAGGCTTCTCATTTGCGAAGACAGACACAGGTAGCACTAGAAGTGCAGCCATGACAGACCTCTACCTGGAATGTCATTGAGAATGATTTTTATCCATAGACTTGTGTCTCTTCAGGGGTCTTGAAAGAGAAATCCCAGGGATATCCTTGGCTTTTAAACGTCATTCATCTCCTAGGAAGAAGATGGGAACAAAAAAACAGGGCGCTGTAACTCCAAAACACTGTGTTAAGCTTGGCTATGTGCCTTGATTCACACACTGATGTACACACTATCTTTTATATTTTGTACAAATTCAACCTTCCAGTAATTTTCTACAGACTAATACTTTTGGAAACAGTAAGAAGCATAACTTATTTGAAGAAATGGCAAAGTACATATACATATGCACAAGCCTGTTTTTCAGATAAAATTTCTAAAACTACAAAGAGAGCCATATCAAATCAAATTAATCAGGAAGAAATTAAGGAAAAATTGAACACCGCATACAGGAACAACTTCTTGTTCTTTTTTAGGCTCTTTTATTCTCTGTTCATAACTTTCGGGTTGTGCAAAATAATTTATGTTTAAATAAGATAAAATGATCCAGTCTGACCATGAGGTTTGGTCTATTGCTTCTCTAAAGTCATGTTCCAGAAACTCCAAGTCAACTTGGATACATTATCCTCCCTGATCCCAGAAGTAAATGCCCAACAACTCCAACGTGAAAATGTCAGGAGTGCTATCTACCTGTTGTAAGGGAGGGGGCTCCTTTGAGAACGGTGAATGGGCATCATGTTGTGGTCCCTGCTGTATTCGAATGTCTTTGGCACCAAAAAAATAGAAATCCCAATGTAAAACCCAGTCCTTACTACATAACATTATAACATCGTGCACCTATAGACAGATTTATAGTATGTACTACATAGTGTGCATATATAGATAGAAGCTTGTACAGTTGTAGATCCCTAATTACTGACGGGCTGACGGGCTGGCGCTCTTCATCACGCTCCTCTATCCGTCTTCTTGGCAGCGATGCTTACACACAAGGGCGATAGCTTCTTAAAGGTGTCTAGTTAAAGTACACCGGTGTTCTAGTTTTCACTCTTTTACCTGAAGGCACTTCTTGTTTAGTGTCTCCCTATGTAAACACTGCGCGGGCAGGACGGGAACCGGATTCTGAGTAGGATGTGTCCGAATTCACAGGAAACAGATGTTCTCTCCACACCCAAACAGGTTTTAGCTTTCAATGGTTGTTAGGTAAAGAAAATGGCAACAACTGTTTTCTTCTCTTTTCATTGCTATGCTTATAACTCCTGAATTCAATTTTTTTAAAATCCTGGGACAAATTTGGATCAAAATAAATGTGATAGTTTGCTATGAATTAGCCATGATTAACCTTTTCTATTGAAAGATTCCCTTCCAAGTGTGTGTTAAAGAGTAATAGGAATGTGTGTGATTGTTGTTAAATTTTAAATATAGCTTTTGTGAATCTTCACTGAAAATTGTAACTATAATGACTACAAAATGAGAATATTTAAGAATTGGAGACCTAGATTTTTGCCTGTCTCTGTAATGATGTCTCTTATGAATCTCAAGCAAATCAACCCAATATATGAATCCTAACAACCTAAAGATAATTTTAGAAAATTCACAAAGTTAACTGTATCAAAACGTGAAAAAAATCTTAACAATCTAAGATATTACTGCATCCACTACTATGAAATTCACTGCAATGAGCTCAAACATAGCCATTCTGAAGAGGGCACTGGCCCAGGCAGTGTTCATTCTGCTTGTAGAAGGTCACTATGATTATGAATCATATTAATGACCCCGCAAAAAAATAACTACTAGTATTAATATGATGATGACAACAATGGTGATGACCACTATTACTACCATCACCAAAAAAGGGTGTAAATTAGGCCTACTGTGCTAAACAAGTAGTGGGTATCCAAATGCCTCAAGAGTCAGGCTAATTGTTTGCTATAAAAGTATTACTCCAGTATAACTTTTAATCCTGTCACATAAGTTGATCTATTTTTTTTACTCACAGATTCTTCATTCAGTTTGAAATGAAGGATTCCATATTATTCCTCACTTCATGCAACTTCACTGGAAGACAGTTTTGCCATTCCAAACCACGTGCAAGCTGAATAGGATATGATATTAAGAATAAACATTACTGTAGATGGAGAACTTTGACTCTCTCTACTGGATTCCAGCTGGCATCAGAGTTGGGCTTTCTCTATCTTAGCCATATTTCGCTGATGATAATCATGGAAAATTAAAGTTTTAAAGTAGTTTACTTTTCAATCGTGTATATTCTCTGTTAGCAGGACAGTTTTAACTCTGCTCCTCAGAAAATTCAGAGTTAATATTTTAATAATAGTTAAAAATAAAGCAACAACAAACCCAAGTCAACCGTACCATGTTGGCCCCGGGTGGGTCAGAGTAGAGCTGTAGTCACAGAGTTTGCTATGGTTATATTTTTGGAAGTAGAGTGGCAGGCCTTTCTTTAGAGGAGCCTCTGAAAGCGCTCAAACTTCCAGCCTTTTGACGGTCAGCTGTCACATTGACTGCATCACCTAGGAACTCTCCTGTTAAAAAGGGACACGGAGACTTCAACAAATTTATGGGAAAATACACAGAGGAGTGCTGGGGGTGCTGTCAGGTAAGCATCAGATTGCTAACTGCAAGTTCACCAGTTTGAACTCCTCAGTTGATCTGTAGGACCAAGAGGAAGGTTTCTTCTCCTGAGAAGATTGACAGTCTCAGAAACTCAGTAAAGGAGCTGACATGAACTTGGTGACAGTGGGAATACCTTTCAAAGGTGTATGTAGAAGGAAGTGAAAGAGGGATGGAAAAGTGGATTGCTCTTTTCGCTCTATTTGTGTCGGGGAGGCATGATGAGCAAAATCATAAAATCAAATCACTTCAATTACAATTTCAAATTTCAAAAAGCCACTTGATGTTTGTATACCTCCAAAAGCCTCTACAAATAAAAATGAAGAATATAAAACAGTCAGACTCCTGGGGAAGCTTCTTTACTGTGGAATCTTGACCAAGCCATTGCTGTTGAAGTAATGCATCTAAAAGATAGAAATATATCTATTCTACCAGAATTACTGGAGCTCTGGTGGTGTAGTGGGTTACACATTAGGCTGCTAACAGCAAGATGGAAGTTTAAATCCACCAGCCACTCCTTGGGAGAAAAATGAGGCTTTCTACTCCCTTAAACAGTTTCAGAAATGAACAAGGAGTTCTCCTCTGTCCTATTTGGTCACCAAGAGTTGGAATGGACTTGGTGGCAGTGAGTTTTGTTTTTTTTTTAAATTAAAATTATTGGATACACAGCACATCCATATACACATTATTGCTTATTTCTTTCTACCAGTATCTTGTGCAAATAAACAAGTCATTTCAGATTCACTTTTAATTCTTTATTCTTTTTATTTTTAGGAGTTGTACAGATGTTCTGTGCTGCGTATTCTTCTTATTTTTCGTTTTTGGCTACATTCTTCTAGGACTTATGGGTGAGTAAATACAGTATAGAATATATTTAACAATCGCTAGTGGGATAAGTCAATGTCACATTTTTAACATGAAGCATTTTCTTGCCAAAGTCTTATTATTGATTGCTGTCTTGACAGGAAAGAATGAACTTCATCTGGGTTCATTGAGTAGCAGAAGCAATTAAACGAAACACAAAACATTTTAGTAGAAGGCAGTCTCAAATTATATAAATAAACACAACTATAGGAAAAGAAAAATAAAAGTTTGTCGGTTTTAAAAATCATTCTTAGTTTTGAAACTCAACCAAACAGCTAATAATATTAATGCTGCTGTTTAAAAATAAAAACTAGGACCTAAATAAATTTAGTTAATATATAAACGTTTAATATTTTATAGGCAAATTCAAAGGAAAGAAGCCTGATAAAGAATTTCACCAGCTAATTTGTTGACATGTATGAAATCCTATTAGCCTCACCTGCCAGGAATAGATATTCTATGACTTATTGTTAGGTTAAATATTTTTCTATGAATGTACAAATAAAGACAAATATAGAGATTTGTTTGAATAATAATTTTTAAAGTACTAAGGAAGATAGTGTGTGTGTTCTCTGTAAGAAGATCTCAGAATTATATGTGAATATATTATACAATTTTCCTAAGGCATAATTCCTGTACTTTAGATGATGACTGAAGAATTTTTAATTTATCATTACTAGGGTACAGGCTATGAAAGTCATATAGCTTCTAGTAGCAACAATTAATGGCATCAATTTAATATGTATAGAGCATGTTGGCAGAAAGAAAGCTGTGCCCTACCTAGCAAATGATGGGAAAAAAATTTCCCCTGGTTTTCAGTTTTATCTTCCAAGAGGGTAAAGCCTTTGCAATAGCAATTGAAAGTAATTTTCAAAAGATGATTTCAGTAATACCATGTAAAAACTACACAAAATTGGAGAATTAGAAAGCAAGACAAGAAGCTAGGTTGAGGAGAGGAATAAAGAAGTGTGTTCTTCTACGGCTTTCAGAATGCTCTTGCTCTCTCTTGGAGTATGTTACCGTTTGCACATGAATGTAATTCTGGAATAACACATAGTCTGCAAAGTCCGTAGCATTATAAATGTTCCTACTCTGTGGCTCATAGAACGTGAGCTCTTCTGACTTTAAAATACATGTTTGTTATCTCTGATTTTATGTTTTCTTTTATTTTGTTTTGTTATAGAATTAAAATTTGGAGTCAGGATCTAGGTTTTGCTCATATTTTGTAGGTTGGGGTAGGTAACCTCAATTTCCTTGCCTATGGAAAATGGAAATGCTACATGCTTTTAGGGTTATTGTGAAAAGTAATTCAATAATGCCCAGCAATACCAGTAATAAGGAGCCCTGAAGGCACAGTGGTCAAGTGTTCAGCTGTGTCCCAAAAGGACAGAGGTTCCAACTCAACAGCTACTCTGTGGAAGAACGATGTGGTGATCTGCTTTCCTCAAGATGACAGGCCTGCAGAACCCATGTTGTATCTATGCTCTTGTTTGTCAGTTTGTTGTACTGTGGTGCCTTGCATGTTGCCACGATGCTGGAACTTATGCCACCAGTATTTTAAATACTAGCAGAGCCATGAGGATGAGCAGGTGTCACTGCAGCTTCTAGACTAAGAACAGACTAGGAAGAGCAGCATCAATCCATATCTGAAGTATTAGCCATTGAAAAACTTAAATATTCAATGATGCAAGAAGCATCAAAGGATGATGGAAGGAAGACCCAGAGTCATTATACCAAAAATAATGAGTCAACATACAGCCATTTCAAGAGGAAGCATTTATGTGATCAAGACCTGGTGGTGGTGAAGAGACAAGTCCTGGCTGCACTGGAGACAGGAGCAAAAAACAAGACGCCAGAAATCGACGGAGTTCCAACTGAAATGTTTCAACACAAAGATGCTGCCCTCGAAACACGCTAGTCTATGCCAAGAAATTTGGAAGACAGCTACTTGGCCAGTTTACAGGAAAAGATCCATATTTGTTAGCATTCCAAAGAAAGGTGACCCAACAGGATATGAAAATTGTTGAATATCTGTTCTGTCATGTGCAAGAAACGTGTAGCTGAAGAGAATTTAAAAGCAGAGATAGCAGTATATCAACAAGAAACTGCCAGAAATTCAAGCTGGGTTCAGAAGGTATGTGAAATGAAAGACAGCATTACTGATGGATCTTTTCTGAAAGGAGAGAATGTCAGAAAGATGTTTACTTGTGTCTTATTGGCTATGCAAAGGCAATCAACTTTATGGTTGATAACAAACTATCAACAACATTGAGAAGAATAGGAATTCCATAAAACTTAATTGTGCTCATGTGGTACCTGTGCAATAGGCCAAGGGGTAGTGGTTTAAACAGAACAAGGATATACTGCATGGTTTAAAATCAGGAGAGTTGTGTGTCAGGGTTGTATACTTTCATCATATTTAGTCAATCTGCATCACCATACTTATCCACTCTGTATGTGGAGCACATAACCAGAGAAGCTGGACTCTATTAATAAAAATGAGCTATCAGGATTGATGGAAGACTTGTTAACAACCTGCCATGTGACACAATCTTGTTTGCTGAAAGTGAAGAGTACTTGAAGCATATAAAATAAAGATCAAGGACTACAACCTTCAGCATAGATTATAACTCAATCTAAAGAAAGCCAGCATCCTCACAGCTGCACCGATAAGCAACACCATGATAAATGGAGAAAAAAATGGAAGTCATCAAACATTTCATTTTGCTTGATTTCATTGTCAACACGCATGGAAGCAGCAATCATGAAATCAAATGAAATATTGCACTGAGCAAATCTACTGCACAAGAAGCCATGAAAGTGTTCATTGAAAACTAAGATGTGGCTGACCCACGACATGGGAATTTCAAGTGCTTCTTGAAATTTCAAGATGTCTCTTGAAATAAGTACAGCTAGAAGGCTCCTTAGAAGATAGGGTGGTAAGACTTTCCTGGTCATAGTTTGGGCCTATAAGGAGAGCTTTGTCTCTGTGGGAGGACATCATGCTTATTGGAGGATCAGTGGTAAAAAGGAAGACCCTCGATGTGATAGGTTGGCCCAGTGGCTGCAACAGTATGCTCTGGCATAATCATCGTGATCGTGTTTCATTCTGCTATTTCTAGGGTCATTAGAAGTCGGAGCCAACTCTAGAGTAGCTAACAACAACAACATACGTCAGGGTTGATTCCATGGAAATTGATTGGTTTGGGATTGGTGTCCCTTTTTACAGCACTCCTAATTCAGGGTCAATTTAATCTATTCTAAATTGAAATCTCGGAGAGTGGTTTGAGGTTCTTTTCTTTTGTTAAAAAAAAAAAAAGTCTTCCCAATCCCAAGTGACATGAAGTGAGAATCCATGTTTTCATAGCTAAGAGGAGCCTCTCAGGTGATATATTGAAGAACAAAGATAATTTCAAGATAACTTTTTGATTTTGTGGAATCAAGAAGCAGTGAATAATTTCACTTACAAATAAACATATATAATTTTAAGAATTATGTTGTTTCTCCCAAATCTACAATTGTTCTAGTTGATAAACTGGTGTGGGTCCAGCAGGCATTATGCACAGAAGTGCGGGTGCTGGGGAAGGATGATGCCGGAGCACTTCATTGTATTTTCACTCTACTTCCAACACATTTATCACATCACAGCTTAGAAAGTTATCAACATGAAATCATTTAGAATAAACTTAATGTAAAGACTACTATTATTTTTAAATTGCTCTAATTTACTTTTCTTAATGAAAAAATCATTATATTTCAAAACAGAACCAGTATTAAATGAACTTTTGCATTTTTAAGAAATATCTAAAAATTTATAAGCTAAACTATGTAGCCAGTTTTAGAAGCCTTTACTTTAAAAAGAAAATATTTCATTTAGACTGTTCCTAATTTTTTGTGTTGAGTGAAATTCCTACTGTGAATTGAGTTATGCTAAATGCATGTGTTCCAGATGATTTGAAGTGGAATATTGTGCACAAGAAAGGGAATGATCTGTGCTCAAGGACATGACCCTAAACTCACCATTGGGTGAAAGAGGCCACCTGTGAAATGATAAACAATATTTTTCTTTCCCGGCAACTGGGTGCAAGTCTGCTTCCATAAAATGGTTCTACAGCAGCAGTGCCATCAACACAGATTTTCAAATTCGTTATCATGTGTCCTATTATCTGCTTCATTGCATTTGTAAATTGCTTGTGTTAAAAAGCCATAAGCACAATTTGGCAGGCCTGTTCCTCACATATTAAAACAGTTAAAATGCACCTTTAAGGGATACAAAATAATGATTTGAAATCCAACAGTTCTAACCAGCGTGTGTTTAGGGAATGCCTTAGCTGCTCCAAACAGATTTGCAGTTAATTTTTAAGTGTCAGTGCAAGCAGTTGGTCTAATCACATTTTCTCCTTGACAGAGGGCTTTGTAATGGCTGCAACTTCTGAATCAACCCTAGAGCACTATGGGAGCTTGCTTTGCAAATGTTTAAAAATGAGAGCTCATGCTAGATAATCCTACTTGCTCCTGAGTGAAAGGATAATTAGCTCAAATAAAGTTTTCATTCATGTCTTACCAAACTTTGATTTTAGCTGCCATGGATTACCTGAATTAAATGATACAAATTTGTTCTCTTCTCTCTAAATGGTTTGGGTTTTGTTGTTGTTGTTGTTTGCTTGTTTTTTTAAAGATCATTTTATTGGGGGCTCTTACAGCTCTTATAACAATCAATTATATCAAGCATATTTGTACATATGTTGCCATCATCATTTTCTAAACATTTACTTTCTAATTGAGCCCTTGGTATCAGCTCCTCTTTATTCCTTCCCTCTCCCCTCCCACCCTCATGATTCCTTGATATGTTTTTATTATATCTTACACTGACTGCTGTCTCCCTCCTCTCAGCTAGATTGCTGTTGCTCCAACACCCTCAGGATCTCTATGTCCTCCTCGTTGATTTTAATTCCCTAGTTGTTCCCCTGTCTATGGCGTTATT